AACGAGCAGCTGTTGCTCGTTAGGATCTCCTCCTGCTGATAAAAGAGACTGCTGGTGCCATGCCCTGGTTGCAGAAGTCAACGTTCTATTCCCGTTCTAGTGATTGTTCTTGTTCGCATTCGCAACCCGAGAGAAGCCAACTTGGATAAGTGGTTTTGAGATAGAGAAGCTGGGTTTGCATTTTGTTATGAGTTATAGGACTTTTGCCAGAGCTATTATCTTTGTTTATTTGGGCTTGCAGCCAGCAAGAGCTTGGACTGATTAAAAGGAACCTTTTGAGTTACGTAGCTTTTGGCTTTCATTCCTGGATGGAGAAGTGGGGGTCAGAACAGCTTAGTATTCAGGGTGGGGATTTTGCCTAATATACTTTAAGTAAGATAAACATTTTTGCATTATGATATTGTACATTAATCTTTTGTTTTGTTGGTTTATTCTTCTGTCTGCTAGATCACAGAACTCTTTCTTGAATTCTCATGATTCATCAATTTCTGAAGGAGACTTCATGAGGCAGAGATTTTCTGTCACATGTCACTCAAGTTTGCCTTATCTCATTGCCTCTGATGGATACATGGTTACCGTTCTTAAATTTTCCAGTGAGTTTTCGCCTTCTACATATACAAAGTCTTTGCTGCTTGATTCAGCCCAACGACTAGAAAAGTTGCATCACAATTTGATTACATACAAGGTACGACGGCTTGCTTAATTTTTTACCACCAAATAATATTGGTTTGTAATTAAGGTCCATAGAGTCCTTTCTGAAAAGGGCCGCAAAACAGTTGCTATGTACAATATTTTTTTTGTTTCTTTAAGGAGGCATCCAATTTTGAGTTAACTCTCTCTTTTCCCAAGAATTGGAATTGTCTAATGTCTAATTGTCTAAAAATTAGATGGCATTTTCCAGATACCAAATGACATGATCTTTCAGATAGAAAGAGAACTATAACAGAATAAAAATTATGAATCTGCGTTTTTATCCCATAAGAATTTCTAAAAAGTACAGCGTCTCTTGCAAGTGAAGGATTGACTGTGATATCTTTGATATTTTTAAAATAAATATCACAAGAGTACAGAATCTATTTTTATTCTGCAGGAATTATTACCACCTATTCCATTTTTCTTACACCAGTGAATGGATAATTTACTACAGGTTTTGTCGGCTTAACCAGAATTAATATTTCCATGGTAACTATCCAGTGTGCCATTTTTGGTAGCAGCACAGTCATTACAGAATATGCTCCTGGAGGGGTACATTTGGTCCTACCGTTATTGTTTTAAGAGCAATAGGGAAATTGTTTTATTTAGTAGATATTTTAAAATAATAATTTAAAATATTTAAAATAATATTTTAAAATACCGTACTTTTTCAATTTCACTTGCAGTGCTGTGATTATGCATTCTTCTGGACATATTGCCATTTCTGCAAGGGTTAATGCTATATGTGTTTTGTGTTTCTGATATCCAGAAAGATCAAATCATATAAATCTTATATTTTGTAATCCACCATGCCCCCTATTTCAGAATCTGCTTCAACTAATGCATTCAGAAATTGAGGTTAAAAAAAAAGATGATGCTAACAGTAAAAGAGTTCTATTGTTCTCTTCCATAGTCTGAGGGGAAAAAGCAGCCACTGCAGTCATTGTCTTCTTTAAGAGCTAACCTCTTACAATATGAAAATCAGCTTTCTACTTTCTCTGGCACTCCAAAGTTTTTACAAGAAGAAGAGGGAGCCACTGAACTAATTGAAGAAGTGTCACTATTCCAGGTATTCTGATAGCTTTACAATATTCAATGATTAATGTTCATAATTTTAAATCATGATGAATACATAGTAAAATATTTAATAATGTAAAGAATAATTGTCATGTAGAAAGGCCATTTTGTTTGTTTGGAGGATAGTAATGTAGATAGTTATGTTTGAGATTTTTCGTTGTTAAGGATAAATCTTACTTTTAAAAAACTCTTTACTATCTCCTGATACTCAGAAGGCTATTTATGTGACACAGGATCCCTAATCTTAACCTAGAGAAAACTGTACAAAATATCAAACATTTTACCTTGGTTCAGTATTCATTTACATTTTGCTGAATAGATATTGAACCATTCATATGCCAAACTGGCCATAGAGCGATAAACTATTTAGATCTCTTACTTGCAACAGTTTGTACACCAGCATTTAGAGAAATATTGTGTTTCCCATTTTTTCATGTGTGTATATGTGTGTGTGTGTTTATGTGTGTGTACATATATAATAGTAATAATATACTATTATACTAGTATAATAGTATACGTGGATCTATAATTATTACTGATACATGTGTCACAAAATAATCATAGTTCAAATGTATAACATTTTTAAT